TGACCCAGCAAAAGCACCATGTCCTGTCCTGCTCTCCCCGTTCCTGTCTCCGCTAATCATGACGTTGATGTACAAATGTTTTATTGATCGGCTCGTATTCGATTTGTCAGCTTCACGTTACCATCAATCATTAAACCATAAATTTAATCTCTCTTCTCTTCACTTCACCTCTGTGCAACACATCACCAGAGAACCCTTCACAGCAAAACAACAACCAGCAAAGAGTTGCGCTTGCGCGTTCAGCCAGCAGCGTATTGCCTCTTTCAGTGCCGCCCTTCCTTATAAAGTAAACCAGAAGAGGAAGCACTAAACAGACAAACAGTTTCCCCCATTCGCCCATTTCAATTTCCTTCCATTCGGCAAAACCTAACCCAAAAGGGAAACAATATGGATACGATGAAGTCATTCAAGGGTTACGGCAAGGTGGACGAAGCAGAGGAGCGGGCCTTCCGACAGAAGACGCGCCGCCGCCTCATCATCGTGGGAATCTCCTCGATCCTCCTCGTCGGGATCATCATCGGCGCCGTCGCGGGGGTCGTCATCCGCAACCGCAAGTCCGGCGGCAGCGGCTCCGACGCCGACAAGCTGCCGCCGACTGAATCCCCCGCCGCGTCGCTCAAGGCGGTCTGCAGCGTGACGCAGTACCCTTCCTCCTGCTACTCCAGCATCACGGCGCTCGAGGGCGGGTCGAACTCTTCCGACCCGGAGGTCCTCTTCCGGCTCTCCCTCCGCGCCGCAATGGCCGAGCTCTCCAAGCTGAAGGACTTCCCCGCCGCGATCCAGCTCCCTTCCGACATCGCCAACGACACCATGCTCCGCCAGGCCATCAACGTCTGCGCCGCCGTGTTCGAGGACAGCGTCGACCGCCTCAACGATTCGATTGCTTCGATTACTGCCCAGCCCGCGGGGGAGGGGAAGCAGCAGCAGGTGCTGTCGCGGGAGCGGGTCGACGATTTGAAGACGTGGCTGAGCGCGGCGGTTACAGATCTGGACACTTGCCTGGACGCGGTGCAGCTCAACGAGACGGAGCACCCCGGTTCAGGGGCGATCCTCGAGCAATTGAACTCGGCGATGGAGAATTCGACGGAATTGGCGAGCAACAGCTTGGCAATCGTGACCAAAGTCCTAGGGTTGCTGTCCGATTTCAACATCCCGATCCACAGGCGGCGGAGGCTGATGACGGCCGAGGCCGAATCGGATTCGGGATTCCCGCGGTGGGTGAGCGACGGGGACAGGAGGATGCTGCAGCAGGTCGGCGGAGCGGGAGGTTTGCGGCCGAATGTGACGGTGGCGCAGGATGGGAGCGGGAATTTCACGACGATTGCAAAGGCGGTGGAACTGATACCGAAGAAGAGTCTGTGGAAGTACATTATCTACATTAAACAAGGTACCTACAAGGAGAATGTGATCTTGGACAAGCACCGGTGGAATGTTCTAGTTTACGGCGACGGCAAGGACAAGACCATCGTCTCCGGCAGCCTCAATTTCGTGGATGGTACTCCTACCTTCGATACTGCCACTTTCGGTAAGTCTCCCCGCCACTTAATTTAGCTCCAATTCCTTAGTTAGATTCGTATAAAAGGTGATTAATTAATTCGTCATTTCATTCCCGGTTGCAATTCTGCATTGAGTTATAGGCTTGAATCGATCAAATTGGCCAGTTGGTAGGCGTTTCTTCATTTAGGGAAATGGGGAAGATAGGGAAAGAAAGGATCTTTAGGCGGCAGAATGCTTGGTCAAAAGCCTTCTTCGCCACCCATGTGAAATGGTTAATTAGTATAAGAGAGTTGAAAGAATCTTTGGTGATGCCATCCATGGAAAAGGGTAGAAAATGGAGATGAAAGAGATCAGAGGACAGAGCATGTCGCCATGTTCTAAGCAGTGACACGAGGGTATATGATTTCACGTTCACTGACTATGAAAGGTAACTGCACATGGAATGATCGGCTTGGATTCAGAACACACATGGATGCCTCCATCTACTCCTGAAAGGGCACATGGAAATGGGATTATTAGAATATTCCATTTAAGAGTCAATCGAGATTTAGGAGTTTTAATCACATCGTAATCATCTAACTTTTACCGATGTCCTCAACTTACTGTCTTTGTTTGACTGTCCTGTACTGCAGCCGTCCAAGGGAAGAATTTCATGGCCAGAGACATGAAGTTCATCAACACGGCAGGTCCCGAGAAGCACCAAGCCGTAGCCTTCCGATCAGGAGCCGACATGTCGGTCTACTACCGGTGCTCGTTCGACGCGTACCAGGACACACTCTACCCGCACTCCAACCGCCAGTTCTACCGCGACTGCGACATCACGGGCACCATCGACTTCATCTTCGGCAATGCAGCGGTTGTATTCCAGGGCTGCAAGATCCAGCCGAGGCAGCCAATGTCCAACCAGTTCAACACCATCACAGCGCAGGGGAAGAAGGATCCCAACCAGAACACGGGGATCTCGATTCAGAAATGCGACTTCACTCCGCTGAGCGCCAATCTCACGGCCCGGACGTACCTGGGCCGGCCCTGGAAGGACTTCTCCACCACCGTCATCATGCAGTCGTCCATCGGAGGCTTCCTTAACCAGTTGGGCTGGCTGCCGTGGGTCTCTGGCGTGGAGCCGCCCAACACCATTTTCTATGCGGAGTATCAGAACACCGGGCCGGGGTCCAGCGTCGCCGGGAGGGTGAAGTGGGCCGGGTACAAGCCGGCGTTGACCAAGGACGAAGCAGCAAGGTTCACGGTGGGATCGTTTATCCAGGGCGGTGCGTGGCTGCCGGCTACATCAGTGGCGTTCGATTCCGCGTTGTGATTATATATGGATGGATGTAATATATAGAGTTTTCTATGCAGGCAGTGGGCGAAGCAGTAATATTATCAGAGAGACCAGTAATCTCAGTTACGTTTTCCTTTGTGTCATCAGCTTTCTTACATTGTAGTTTGATTCGAGCACCAACGCCTAACTATACGTGAGAGGGTTTTCCAGATTGGATTGTAAGTTGTAACAGTTGTTTGTTTATATACGTGGGAGCAGTGCGTCTTTTGTTCATAGACATGAATGAAGGGAAATCTTTACTGGCTGGTTTTTCCATTTCTTGTGTTTGGCTTCACATGTTGCTCCATTAATGAACAGGTAGAAATATGGAATTGGGATTTTGGGAGCATGGTTCTTGGAGAAAAGTAAACGGAAATGTGATTGCTGCGGTTGTGTTTGAAATGAACGGGGTGGTCCGTCTTCATAATGAAAAGGTTCTCAGATCCGCACCACTCTGTTTTAGCTTTTATTCATTCAGCAGTTAAAACAGTAAACTAATAATCCCTGAATGATGCATACAAAATGTGAAGCTGACAAAGATTAGCCGCAGTTAATCACGTTTAGCATCGTGGTTACTGAAACTGTTGGCGCCGCAGGACGGTAGGATAGAATAGTTGTATTGCAGTTAGAGGTGGGTTTGTGGTTTAACCGCAAACCATACAAAACCACACACTGTTTCGTTAACCACAACTACATTTTGTGGTTAGCATAATTGTGAGTTTAACCACTAATCATAATGATTAAATCACAATAACCACACCTATCCATCATTTTTAAAATAATTTTAGCGGTTAATAGTTAACATTAGAGCATCTCTATTAGTGCAATTGCATTTGTAATTGTATTTTTTTTTACTTCATTTTTTTTTTTGCAATCCAACTCATCTTACTTGCATTGCATCACATCAATGCAATTAACTTGCAATTGCAACTAATTTTTTTAATTTAATTTTATTAAAATATAAACACTCAAATAATAAAATTAATGAATAATTTAATAATAAAAAAGATGATGTGGCCTGCATTTCATAATTGCATTATATGCAAGCTTGCAAAGATGCCATTGTCATCTACATCAATGCAATTGCAAATGAATACCATGTTATAATGCAATTCTAAATGCAATTACAATGGAGATGCTCTTAGTAAGTATGCTTATCAATTTTTGGGGATTTCTCCAATTCAATGGTTAGTACTTTAGTGATTTATTTGTTACGTTGTTGAATCATTGGCGAAAGATTTCTACTTTACACAAAATGTTGAATTATTTACATGTTGATGAATACAGATTGTGTTGAATTGTTACTATGTTGTTCTAATTACATGTTTTTCTATTTTATCCTCATCCAAGACTTTCATTGTCCGAGTTTGGCTTGTATCTTTCGATTCTGCTGCTATATTTTTTTTATCTATCTTTTATTTGGAGGTCGTTTGAATACGAAAATTTGATGCGGGAATTGGTGCAAAATTTCACGATATGCAGGAATTGGGAAAAACTTCTTGTTTAGTAGCAGCCCAGAAATTGTATGAAAATGGGTCAAGAATTCCACACTTGTGTGAATTAAAATTTTGGTCCCAATGTTTCTTTTATTTCCAAATTTCCACAGTCAAACAACCCCAATGTTTCCTTTCTATGTTACATATGGTCCACTCAAATGTCCTCCTTAAAATGTCTTGACCTTTCTTTTATTTTGTCAAATAACAAAATATTTCAAACTTATTAGAATTCTTTAATGAATTATGAATTTGTATTTTGACAATGTAATGTGGTTAAATCACAACGGCACCAACCCCACACCTCTAATTAGTTACACACTGTAGTAAGCTTCTAGCAGTTGAGTGCATCACATCACACCAAACTAACGAGAATCGCGGTTCAATAATGAAAGACATCTTAGCACTAAGAATCAGATTAACATTGCATTCAGTTCGCTTTGAAGCGATCCAAATTTCACTTTAATTAATTTTTCTTCAATATCTATAAAGTATCAAAAAGCGGATCACATTATATGCAGTTCGATATGATCCGATCTTAACGTAAGTTTGGTCCGGTGCAATCTGAATTCTGAGGATTGAGTTGGATTGGCTGGGCGATGGGGCGAGGGCCTGGCCCAGCGGGGCGTTTCGTTTGGGTCCGGGCGGTGAACCCTCTAAAAAAGGAAGAAAAGAGGCGATCGTCCGTTTCCCGTATTCCGTCTGAAAATTCGTGCGGCCCACGAAACAGATCGGCACCTTCCTTCCCTCCCTCCCATCTCTCTCTCTCTCTCTCTCCTCTACCAGGGCAGGCAGCAACAAGGCTGAAAGCAGCCATTCGTTCAGCCGCACCGCCACTCTCTCTCTCTCTCTCTCTCTCTCTCTGCGTGGGGACTGAAGAGTTGAATTTTCAATCTCGGCCGCATATTTAAAAGGAGAGGAAGCTTACAAACAACAGAAAATGCGGAGATCAGTAATTGGAGGTGCCAAACGCAGTAGTCTCTTCCTTCTCAATCAAGCTCATCGCTCTCTCCTCTCACCAAGTCCTCCTCCTCTGCACCACCATCTTGGTTCTTCTCCTTCCTCCTCCGCCACCGCCCTCCTCCTCCTTCTCCGGCGCCTCTCCTCCTCCTCCGCTTCTTCTCCCCCTCCTCCCAACATGTCGAACCCCGTTACCGTCCAATCCATAAACCCCAAGGTAGTCATGATCTTTGTTTCTTCTGACCAAGTCCATTTGCTGCTCATCTCTCAATTTCTTCTGCACACCTAATTAAGCTATCAATAGGAGATGCAGATCCCGTTTTTGTCCCCATGATTCAACTGCCGAAGTTCTGATTGACTAGTATTTGATTACTTTCCCAGGTTTTGCAATGCGAATATGCTGTTCGTGGAGAGATTGTCAACCTTGCTCAGGTACACTATCCATGCTTTGGTTCTCTGTCCGTCTCTCTCATTCAGTGCTTTTGCCCCTGTGTGCTAATTTCCTTCCATCTGATGTTCAACGTTTCATTGGTGCAGCGCCTGCAAGAAGAGTTAAAGGCTAACCCTGGTTCTCTTCCTTTTGATGAGGTTCTTCTTCCTCTCTATCACCCCTCTTAACTATTCTCTTCCTTTTTTTTTTGGTAGGAACTATTCTCTTCCTTTAACTATGAACAATTAGTTAGGCTCTTCTGTGGTAGTAACTGCTGGATTCATTGGTCAACAAAATGCTGTTGTTTTTGTTTAATCTTAAGTGCTACTTGAATTCGAGCTGAACTACTTTCTTTCCCATTCATGTGTTCTCTGAAATTACAATGCCCTTGTACGCAGATTCTCTATTGCAACATCGGAAACCCTCAGTCTCTTGGTCAGCTCCCCATAACTTTCTTCCGAGAGGTTAGTTTGGCCTTTCCCATTTACTGCATAAAGGTTTATCCTTCTATCAAAGCCACTGCTTACATTATTTCTATTCCAATTTAGGTTCTTGCGCTCTGTGACCATCCTACGATTTTGGACAAAGCTGAAACACAGGGCCTGTTCAGGTATCACTTCTCAGTTCCCACTTTTTTGTTGTGTCATTCCTTGCTTCAGTATTTCAGAGATTGAAGCCAGAAGGCAATGCAGTTGGTTTATGTGCTGCCCAGTGCCAGCTGATAGCACTTAGCTTTGTTCAGTAATATCGAACCCTGTTTTATTATTTAGTTGAGAATTCGTTCATGCCTCAGCTATCTGGATATTTTCCCACATCGTTACCAGCCGATTAAGTTACAAAAAATACAGCAGTTTGATGCTGTGTTTGTTGCATAATACTTTCCCTGCATTGCTAATGCCTTGTCCGGTTTCTTGCTTGTTGTATGCCAGTGCTGACTCCATAGAGCGAGCGTGGCAGATTCTTGACCAAATTCCCGGGAGAGCAACCGGTGCATATAGTCATAGTCAGGTTATAATCATGACATTGTTATTTGCAACCTCCGAAGATGGTATTACAGTTGAGTTTTTTGTTAGAACATTGTGATGGATACAGCTTTTAACAGGGCATCAAAGGATTACGTGATACGATTGCTGCTGGTATTGAAGCTCGTGATGGCTTTCCTGCTAATCCAAATGATATATTTCTCACAGATGGTGCAAGTCCAGCTGTAAGAATGATTCCCCCTACTTTTGTCTTGTGATATTGTTTTGAATTACCAAACATTGGAAGCAGCTTTCATATACACTGACGGTATATCTTGCTTCCAATATGCTGCAACTGATAATGCTTCTCCCTTTCGTTAGGTACACATGATGATGCAATTACTGATAAGCTCCGAAAAAGATGGAATTCTGTGTCCCATACCTCAGTACCCTTTGTACTCTGCATCCATTGCTCTCCATGGTGGTAGTCTGGTAAGAAATCTCTCTCTTATGCCATTCACTTTAGTGGTTTGCCACTGGATAATTTGGATTTGTATTTTTGTTTTATCTTCTTTTGATAATCATATGTGTAAGTATGGTTCAATTCAGATTCCTTACTATCTTGACGAAGAAACTGGCTGGGGCTTGGAAGTTTCTGAACTCAAGAAGCAATTAGAGGAGGCTAGGTCAAAGGGGATCAGTGTTAGGGCTCTGGTTGTTATAAATCCAGGCAACCCAACTGGACAGGTGGGGAGTTGCCACATTTATACTTCTGAGGAGATATATCTTAATTTGGAAGTACTTCCTTGATGCTGGTACCACTTGGGAGGCATTTTGGTAACGTGGTCTTGGCTCTTATGCTTGCAGGTTCTTGCAGAGGAAAACCAGCGGGATATTGTGGAGTTCTGCAAGAAAGAGGGTCTTGTTCTTTTAGCAGATGAGGTTACTATCAACTAGTTTTGTGCTCTGGGGTTACGTTCTTGAGGTGGTTCATCTTTTTATATTAGACGTACTGTTTTGTACAGGTTTATCAGGAAAATATCTATGTTCCTGAGAAGAAATTTCACTCGTTTAAGAAGGTTGCCCGATCTATGGGCTATGGTGATAATGATTTGTGTCTAGTATCTTTCCAGTCTGTTTCGAAAGGTAAACTGCTTGATGTTTATGCTGGATTAGAGATAATCTAGAGTTCCGAATTGGGGCAGTAATTAGATATACATAATTTTTTTAAAATGTTTTCAGGGTACCATGGTGAGTGTGGAAAGAGAGGAGGTTACATGGAGATCACAGGTTTTAGTCCTGAAGTCAGAGAGCAGATATACAAAGTGGCGTCTGTGAATCTCTGCTCTAATATTTCTGGCCAAATCCTTGCAAGTCTTGTCATGAGCCCGCCCAAGGCACATATTCTCTCCTTTCCATCTCTCTTTTTGTGACTGATTCCTTACTGAATGCCAGGATGTAGACACAAAAGGCTCTAGTATGGGATCATTAATCTATTGCGTATAATAAGAAGACTAGCGTCTTTTGCTTTTTACCTCTCATAATGCAAGTGGAATGCTTTCAGGTTGGAGATGAATCTTATGAATCATATTCTGCCGAGAAAGACGGGATTCTTGAATCTCTGGCGAGGCGTGCCAAGGTCAGTTGATCAAATCCTAAACTTTTAAGCTCTGATATCCAGGCAACTCCTATGACTGTTTTTGTATTCCTTGCCTATAGTTGCGCTTTTTGCATAAGTTGGTGCTTGCTAATGATCAAGCAGTCAAAAGTTACCATAACCGTTCCGAGTGTCATATTTCCCTGAGTTGTTGTTTCCTTGATTAATATATCACTGTATCCTTAAACTATTGGCAGACACTGGAAGATGCATTCAACAGTTTAGAGGGCATAACATGCAACAAAGCAGAGGGAGCAATGTATCTTTTCCCCCGGATCAGGCTGCCTGAAAAGGCAATCAAAGCTGCAGAAGCTGCAAAGACTGCCCCTGATCTATTTTATTGCCGTCATCTCCTAAATGCTACTGGAGTGGTTGTGGTCCCTGGTTCCGGCTTTGGCCAGGTAAGAACTTGTTTTAAAATGTTGTCATAGCAGAAAAAATAAGATTGTACGTGTGGGAAAAGTCATGGTAGTGCTATATCTATTTGTGCCAATAGTTTGCCAATCCATACTACCCTAGTCCTAGTTATATATAAAACAATAGCAGTATGCTGACTTGTAATAATGCCCTCCTATATTGTCAAGAATCTAGTCCTAGTTAAGGATTTTACTGTTGGACGTTGGATTTCTTTAGCGTAGATGCTTGATCACTGGATAGGATTTGAGGGTATATTTATTGATCACTTTGCTCTGTTCTGATGATGAATTGGTTTTCTAGTTGTTGGTAGTCATTGTGGCCAGGTCCTTCGATGAGAAAGCAGTCATTAACCATGATATCATGTTTTTGCGATCATAATTTCTGGCGAATAACAGTTACACCTGTCACTGAGTCTTTTCTTCCTTGGTTTGTAGGTTCCTGGAACGTGGCACTTTAGGTGTACCATTTTGCCGCAGGAGGACAAGATTCCGGCCATTGTCTCACGGCTGACAGACTTCCACAAGAGCTTCATGGATGAGTACCGTGATTAGAAAGAGCGTTGTTGTACTATCATCAGGGCTTCAGTTGGAAGTAGCTAATAATAAAGATTGTACTCGTTTCATTTTTCTGCTGCAAGTTTTTTCAGAGTTGAGAGACTAAATAAGTGGCACTTGCCTTCACTTGGAGGGTTTGATTGATCAATAGATACTATTGCCTCCGAGAGTGTTGGTAGTTAGTTCCATTTTGTTTATCTTGAGGATTAGTTTGCCTGCAGAAGAATTTTTGGTTTATGACAAAGTAGAGGTTATGCATTGCGGCCAATGATGGGTTTTAAAACGAATGGGTAGCTTTGAGTTTGATCTCTTTGTGCATCTGCCGTTAAAATGAAACACGAATGATGACCTTTCCGGCCAGCCCTACGGCTAACTGATAATGGCACTGGTTGTACTGGTGCACCTCTTCGGCCAAAAGATCACTATTTGAGTATAATCCCCAGATTGATACATCATAGACAAAGCTAGTCTCTCAGTTAAGTTCTCTCTGCCATGTGAAATTTACCACTCAATTCAATAATCATTGAACAAAATTCAAGCTCTACAAAATATGACATAACCAGTTCAGGTTAAGTAAACATTGTTCCATGCCAGATCATACACAAGGAAGACAGGATACTGCACTCACATCAATAGACAATGATTCAAAATAACAATCCATTTCTTCGATCAAAAGGCTAAAATGTTCATAACTTGCCAAGACAATCATTCCCCCATCCGTGGCCATGCACCACAATTTACCCTTAATCCCATTGAGCCTATTCAAACGACAGAAACATCAGATAGTCTGGTAGGCATGAACTAAAATTGCTCAAAAGCTATCATGAACGTCATTGTCATAGTTCGTACCCACATGCCCACAGCTGAAACAACGACAAACATTCGAGGGAAGAAGAAAACTAGCGGTACATATAACGTCTATGTAGTCATAGTGTCTCATCATAGGCGACTGATGACGGCCTCCACCTCAGAAGGGGTGTACAAATGGTATGTAGGAGCCACTTTTGCAATGTCCACATTGTTAGGTGTTACCTACAAATGATCAGCATATTCCAAATTTAGACTCAACAACCAATAGCAATACAGCCAGCATAGGAATGTTGGGGTCCCCAAAAGAAGAAGAAGATAAATTACCTTTTCCTCCATAACTTGCTTTAGGATGGAAAGTGCTATTGTTTCAGCTTCCTGAAGAGTGAGTTCCTGCACATTATATCATGGATGTGTATCACATTTTGCGACAAACAAAATGCAACATGTACAACAGAGCGTTCTTCATTACACCTACCTATGCGTCACTATGAAAAATATCAAGACCTTGAACAGCCTATCTAATGTGATATTCTCCATCCCATCTTACAAGACTTAGAAACCGAAAGGAAAAATGAAAACGAAACAGTGAGCTTGGCGAACAAAAGTTGGAGAAGACTGCAAGCATTGAAATGAAGCAACAGTACCTTGTTATATTGCTCCTGTAGAGAGCTATCTGCACCTTCAGAACCTGACCCAATAGCCTTTGCATTGCATTGCCAAAATGTGCCGGATGGATCTGTGTAGTACCTACACAAGAAATTAGCTGGTAAAGGCAAAGCACAAAAGACATGAAAATCCAGAAAGATGAAGCACACATGAGAACTTACAAGCTCGGACCATTTTCATCATGACCAGCAATGAGAAGCGATACTCCGAAGGGGCGAGACTGCAAAGAGGAGCACAAACTGATCAATAGCAAGTTGGATAAAATTGTTACAGAAGTAAACAAATCGAGGACCAAAAATTGCACTCAATTATCAAGCAGAATAACATTTCATTTTATCAGTGCTTCTGGTCACCTATGTAGAGATCTGACAAGAAGACTAGGGCAGAGATGCAGACAGTCATATTCCTATTAGAAAACTCACCAATCAACATTAGGATACATGAATAAGAAATGTCATCTGAGAAAAGAGGCTGTCATCACAAATAATTCTGGGTGTATGCTCAACACGGGAACTCAGCTGAAGATTAACAGTTTTCACTAATAATTACATGTAGATTTATGACAAGTGTATTACCATAGACTCTTCATCGCCTTCACCAAATCTCAGGGCCAGATCACAAAGGGCTTGTGTCGTAGACTCCACAGTCATTGGCTCACCATATGAAAATCTATGATTCTGAAAGATACATGTCAGTTAGTGAAGGAGATCCAGACCCTTGCAAAGACAGAAGCATAGTAGGAAGATAAGTATTACTTGAGTTTCAACACGAGCATGCTCAACAAGAGTACGGGCATCTGCAATTAATCCACTCATAGCACATCCAATATGCTCATCGATCTCCATGACTTTCTCCACACTGCTGGGCTCCTGAGATAGTCCATGAGAAAAATATATAATTTTGTTTCTACCAACACAAAGAGGAGCTATTCTAAGGTACACAAAAACACATCAAGAAATGAAAGGCACGTATTCCCTATGTTTTTGGAGTTCTATTAGGCTTTCAATTCTTTTCAGAATAGAATTAGGATGGTAGCTCTAAGATGGAGTACAACTTTGTTGAAACATTCTGAACAGCATTCAGTGAATTCAAACGAAAGAAGTAACCATAAATAAGCAGGCATCTTTTGTACGAGGTTAGATAGGAAAGAAACAATCACATTGAGCAATCCCATTTACACAATCATCGTTCACCACAAGAACAAGCTTTAAGCACAGGAACAAACCTGCTACATAAGAGAAATAGAGAGAGAGAAAACCAACCAAGAGTGGTGAAGTGATACGCTTCTCAACTGCGAGCACAACCCCTTCCTTTGTCTTCAGCCCAATCGCAGTAGAACCGAGCTAAAAAAAAAGGATCACACAAATTATGGGTTGTTCTGCAATCCTTCTGGAAAAGATGTTTTAGCGAGGAAATGGTGCAGTCACAAGTCATGTTGAATTTGCAGACAGATTCACTTCGACCTCCCAAGCATACAGTTCATTGGAAGTACAATTCAGCATGAAATTAAGATGAACCACCGATAAGCTAAAATAATTACTTAATGCAGCTAAACAGAAAGTGCAAACTTTTAAGACGTCCGATAAGAGCCGAATGGGTTGGAGGGGTTCGCCACAACAGGATACAGTAGCTGTAGCTCGCTAAAGCGATGTCTCATATGGATCATGAGCATCACTTAGGTATTGATCCGTCACTCAGCAGAACATAATGGCCGGGCAGTCTACAGGACTAATCGAGTAAAACCCAGATAAGGAAAATATGCAGGAAGCAAGCTTTAGCCAGATAGACACACAAATGTCTCGCTACAGTATGAGATTCAGTGAGGGAGAGGGAAAAAGGGAGTTAGGTCAAGCAGTAATTACCTTGATGGCTTCGATAGCGTATTCGACCTGAAAGAGGCGGCCTTCGGGAGAGAAGGTGTTCACTCCTCGGTCATACTCGGTCCTGAGAAATCGAAATCACGAAAAGTCGGAATTAGATAAAGAAATCGGGAACAAGGAGGTGAGCAGCGAATGAATGTCGGCAATTTACCTGGTGAGGAACATGTTTAGCCGCCGGTGGGAATTCGATCTGTTCTACAGACAGGAAATGGGGGAAGACGGAGAAGACCGACGGTGGCTCTTTTGACTGACTCTGGATTTTGCGGGCACCGGCGGAGAGTGAGAGCTTTTGTAGGCAGCTTCCAGTTCTCTGTGTAAATTCCTTTACTTTCGTCTCGACTTGTTAACCAAGACAGACAAGTTTCTGAGAAACGTTTCGGTTCGTTGGTCTGTGCTGGGCCTGAAAAGAACTATTGGTCGGGCCTGGGCCTGGGCCTGACTAAGATGTATGACATTGCTATACTAATGGGCTGTCCCCTACACATAGTTTGAGCTTACACTTTTATATGGAAATTTAAAAATGGTCATCGAACTTTCAACAACTTCCGAAACGGTCACTTAACGTATTTTTTGTTACAACAAAACCTACATTTTTTTGTTGTTGTTCATACTCTCATTCTCCAAACGACCCTAAATTTGTCCAGTACGAAAATCTCTATCTGTGAGCCAAATTATAATTCCAATTTCATTACCTCTTAGTACAAACCGAACAAAATTGCCAAACCAAGTCATGCATGAGTCAATTAGCTGATTATGTACAGCTTAAGGCATAGAGTCCATGAGCCAATGGTGGTGTTGTGACAGTTTTTCAAGGTGATTAATGCTTCACACATCTCTGATTTCTTTGGATGTTAGCTTAATAACAACAAGGGTGACAAAATAGAACATCAAAGCAATTACTTAAGGAAGCTTATTGCAGGGGAAACAGCCACAAGATGAAGTGGGAACAGCGTAGGAAGATACAAATTTGCCACTGTTATTACTAGCGATGGCAGCACGAGCAGGCGGAGTGTTAGTGGCGGCGGTGGTGATCATCCGCCGCGCCTGCTCGGTCGTGAAGTTAATGTGCTGGGTATGCTGTTGGAGAGCTGCAGCTCTCCAGTCCTCAGCTCGCCTGCGCACAACTGCCATCCTCTTCATCAACTTCTCCTCCATGTTTGCTCTCATCTTCTGTATCTTCACCTGCAAAACAACAAAAAAGGACGAAGCTTTTCATTAATGATACCGTTAATAGTTATCATTATTATTCTAATCAAATCCCCAAGCTTTTGAAGCTTCCCTGATCCTTCTCTTCTTCCTACCTTACCTACCGACCAGATTTGTTTAATCTGACACGACCTGGACGTTGAAGACTGCGACATAATCTTAATACAAATCCGGAAAGAACTTGAGTTTATTTAGATAACATCAAAAGGAACAAGGGATGGTGGACCAGTCAAGCAAGGAATAGAAAAGTTGGGAGCTTGGACTTGTGGGCGTGACCAGGAACTGAGCAACTCCTTGAGGGGCTCGAGGTCCTGGCCACTGCACGCTACCAAACAAGACCGCCAGCCATAGGTGAATATTCTTTTACCCAATAACAACCATTGCTTGCTGTTCCACCAAAGTCCTAGCTTTCACACCACAAGCCACATTTGTGTCACATGATGGGGGGAACCCAGACAAGCTCTTAATCCTAAGTCATGATGTTTATCTTGATAACTTCTCAGCATATCATTCCATGTATTTGACATGATCTCATAATGCTTCTAGATGCCGTATGAGTTCGAGAAGCCACACGATCGTGATAACTTCTCGTATTAACAGTTGATTTATGCGCGAGGAACTCATGACGACTTAATAATCAACTGAAACATGATATGCAAACCGCAATATATCTGTAGTGACTCAAGTACTTGATCAATACCTCCAACTGCCTTGATTTAGCTTCAGCTTTTGCGCTCTGCAGGTTCACCCACGCCTGAATCCTTGCTTCTTCACTCTCGTATCTGCAATAACCAAAAGGATGTTTCTAACGCCTCCTTCCAACTGAATGATTTAACAAAACTTCATCAACAGTTTTGAACCGACGAGCGTGACTGTATAATACCTGAGGCACCATTTGTTCTTCTCCTCTTCCTCCCAAGCCAATGCAGCAGCAGCTGCAGCCCTTCCATCAGAGACACTGCTGCTCCTTCCAGTTTCGAAGTGTCTCAAGCTCTTGGACACCTCTTCCTCCTCTTCCTCCCTTGTGCTCCAGATAGACCCGACTGGATCGAACTGCAGCTTTGCCAAGTGACAGTCCTGCAGCTCGAATATCGTGGTGCTGTTGCTGCTGCTGTTATTGCTACTCGCGGAGTTGGAAATGGGGGCCAATGGGCCTGACCTATTGGCAGGAGTGTTGTGGCGGGCGGGCGAGGAGGATTTGAAAGGTGTGTGGCATCTGGAAGTGGTTGAACTCCCCATTGGTGTCATCTCGGTTCCTACATCTCTGTGTTCCACCACAACTAGTTCACCACTCGTCTTCCCATCGTTCATGATTTGATCTGTACTGATACCTATGGAGTTCCTGAACAGGAATCCTTGCTTGTTAGATGATGGCTCCGAGTTCTTGAATTTTGGGGTGACTGTCTCCACCACCTCGTCTGTGAACTTATCTGCAACCGGATATGATCCTTTTTGTTGATTATGTACATCAAGTGACAGTGAAAATGGACACGGTGCAATGTAAGCATGAAACTACAACATTAGAGCTAGTTGTTGTTCACCAATAGGAGAGCTCCAATTCTGGGTTCTTTGGTCAGCATCAAACACTCCAGAAATCATGTAAGACTAAACATTTATGTGATTCTCTAGCAATGCAGACAACCATAGAGTTCGTTGAAGCTACTAATGGCTGGAATGCAGCATTATTTCAGAGACAAAAGCTCACTACTCATCTTAAACAAAAAAGCACCTTTGAACGCTGTTGCTGCAGTTAGTCAACATGCAAATGTTAAAAGGGGGGAAAGGGAGAAAAAACAATTTTGCACCAGCTGCATAGCCTTTTGGAAGAGGAGACAAGAAAAGCAATACATTAGAGAAGGGAGTAAAAAGGCTAAAATGGGTGGGCAGTTTTGTGGTGAATAAAGTTAGTTAAAAAGAGAATATACAGATAGTTGGTGGTGTAGTGTTTGTACCTTTGAGAAGCGAATTGGGAGAAACAGAGAGGCCAGCGAAAGCAGTGGGCAAATGGGGCAGGTTCGCATTAGCCGGAGAGCAGCAGGCGATGATTTTATCGTCGCAACACAAATATTTGGGGGAAGGAGGAGGAAGAGGGCGGTGAAGGGGATGAGCAGGAGAAGCGACGAGCCATTTCTGGGCGTCGTCCCATTTGGAAGGGAAGCTCCTCCGTGGGGGTTCAACGCCGGCGGCGGAGGATTTCCTTCCGGCCGAGAAAGGAAACGACTTTACAAAATCGGAGGTCTCTTTGAGATTGAGACTGCACAGTGGGTCTGGTTCTTCAAATGGAAACAAGGGTTTCACAATGTGCTTGCTTCCTGCTTGCTTATTATACCCCTCTTCCATTTCTTATTCTTTCAACGCTGCTGCAGCTGGAGCTGGGACTGAAGAGCGTAGAAATAGAGGAATGCAGAAAGATAGGCGGAACAGGGGCTCAAGCAAATGTAGTGGGAGAGATGGAGAAGGAGAAGAATTGAAGAGTGGTTCCAAGAGCGGGAGACTGACTGTAGGTCTTCTGCTGGTCTGGTCCGGTCTTTAACAGTGAGTGGCATGAATCTTGGTGAAGGAAGGGAAAAGGAAAGGAAGGCGAAAAAGTTAGTCAGGCGTTGCTGCATCAAAAACAGAGTATTCAGTGACAGTGAAGTGAAGGCCGCTTTCTCTCTTTCTTTCTTCTGCATTTGGGAACCCTATTCAAATTACTGTAACAATAGTTTAACATTTGGCTCTTCTGGTTACCACTTAGCAGCTGCCTCATATTCTTTACACAACCACGTTGATCAAATTGGTTTATAATGTTACGTACGTTTAGCAAATGTAATGATCCGACTAGATACAATGATTTATACCAGTTCATTTCGGTTTTAACTAATATATAGCTTGGTGTAACAATAGGTAACCTATTTGGTGGCTAGAAAGATCCTTACTTTGTTTCCGGCTACTTGTCGATTGTTTGATTTCCAGGTCTGACTGGGTTCCAGGATGTAATACATTTTGTCTCAATCAATATAGCTAATTATCTTTTGTCAAAAAAAAGTGAGAAATCATCAACACCAAATGAATTTAGGCTTTCATATCAGGATAATACAAATTATTAGCAAAATCTTTCAATTTTGTCAAAATATTAGCCAAACGGAGCTCAAACGTTTCGAAATACAAAATAATAGCTAATCGTTAAGCCTCCATTAACACTTCTGTTAGATAATAATGAGATGGCAGATGTTATGCTGAGGTGGAAAAAATATTCTCACGTGGCAGTCAACAAAAAATGTCACATCAACCGATCAACTATGGTGACTTATTTATTAATTGATTATTAAAAAAACAAAAACAAAAGACAATTGCTCCGGCCAGGAACCCTACGCTCTCTCTTTCGTCTTCCTCACCACTCAGCAAGCCACAATCACCGTTGCTTCGACCATGACACTATGTTTGGCTACAAGGAGTGCAAATTGGAGGGGGTACAAGTTGAAGGGTAAATTGTAGGAGGGTGCAGTGCAAATTGGTGAGAGGTGCAACTGTGCAAGTGGAGAGCTAAATTGTTGTTTGGATGAAAAAGTAAGTGGGTGTAAATAAAGTAAAAAAGTGAGTAATTAAATTATTACAAAATAGATTTGTCAAAATTTTAATGATGCTCAAATAATAATGGATTATAACAACTGTAATAATCATTGACCGATCGACCTTGAAGTTATAGCCCAACTCGTAACTGGTCAATCCTACATGGTTCTCGTGTATAATTTCACTTTAAATAAAATATGGTCAAACTTAGTCAAACACGTTCGAAATTGTACGTTTTAGCTATTTAGTCAAGTTAACTAAGTCAACCAAATCGTTCCTCACTACATTTTCCATAAGCATTTCTTATCTCTAATTTCCAACGCAAATTCGAGTCAACCAAGAGATCTCGATTTGATTAGACGAACATTGATAAACTTGCTCTTGAAGTCAAACGGTCAACCCCGAACATATCTTTCGGCAAGGATACAAGAGGTTGTGTTCGTCGGGGATGCGAAGTTGGTATTGGATAAGGTGACAGAGGGTTCATGTTATGATGCATGTGGTGGAGCAATCATGGAGGAAATTCAGGTGTTGTGACAAAGTTTTCATCGTTCCAAAATACAGTTCATTGGTCGTGCTAAGATTAGAGTGATTCATTTGATGGTCTGAAAAATCTTTTTTTTTTTATTATACCCTAATTGGTAAAAAATAGTCTTCCATGCAAACGACCCTAAATCTCAACTTGACAGGAAGAGAAAAGATCTCAAGTTTACTATTTCCTAATGACTCGTCAAATTACATGGTCCATCAGATAAGTTGGTCAAAAATCTTTTGAGTTAATTAATAAATTATGGATTCAAAGCTTGAAACCACAAGTGAAACTTCTTTCACTTATTCTTCTTAAGTTGCAACCATATCTAACTCCCTTGTACAAACCAGTTTCACCATCAGTGCTTGTGCCCACCCAACTAAGGCAAATTTTATGACACATACATACAATTGTGGATGGATGATTTATTGAGGGGGAGGCAGGCAGCATATGACATATTCTAAAATGCAAACCAAACATTTCCAGACAGCAGATGTTGACTTTTTTAGCTGTATTACAAACAGGTAAGACAAAGAAACTAGAGGCTGGGAATCATACTTGCCAGCAGAGCTTAATCTATTCATATAAGAAACTAATGGTAGGATTAGTGTTGCTCCCTTTCTAACTTTGACAAGAAGAATTAACAATTCAATCATGGGCCAACTGGATGCTTGCATGATTCAAGTTTCTAAAAACATTACCATTTTGATCTTCATACTGAGATAAGATGTGCTGTAGTCAATAACAAATTCTCACTGATTACCTAAAATAGTGCTTGTCTATTCATGGTTTACTAAAATGACACATTAGATGATGAACTGACGCAAGAACAACCAATAAGCACAGCAGTCCACAATATAATAATAACCCTCTCCTCCTCCACCCGACCTTTCAATGGCTTGAATTATTGGAGTCGAGGTAGAAGATAAGCAGAAACAGGGAACATGGCCCCACTGCCTTTCACCTGATTATCTCTTATAACTATAAGATAGTGCATCATTGACAGAGACAACCTCCCTAGCAACATACTCACAGCAACCATTAATTATTCTATCAGCTGCAACCCCAAATATACCTCTCCATCTGTATATAGGACTAGGACTAGGAGGTTCATTGGTCACTAAAGTAAACGCCTACAGTTTTCTTCATCCCTCTCTCTCCCTCTCTCTGTAAATAGGAGGCTCACCATTGCTAGTGTAAGGTGTTTGATCAAATGGTTGCATTAAGGTTCACAAGATGGCCTTCCTCGCCACCACACTTCCCAGTAATGCAAACTGCTGCATCTTCTTCAATTCCAGACCAGCTTCCATTCAGCAGCAGCAATAAGAAGGCTCATAAACCTGTGGGGATCATGATCAAATCTTCCTCTTGTTCCTCCTTCACAAACAAGGTAGGTAACTTCTATACATCACATGTATCAAAAGTCTCTAATTCGTCCTTCTTCTCTCATCATGTATGATCATTGTATATGACTTAGTCCTGCTGGTTCATTATATTCTCAATTCTCAACTTCTGGTGGGGGGATAGATATTCGAGAACCCAGTTGAGGGTATAGTTTGTTATAGAGATAAGAGAACTGGGGAAGTAATTTGCGAAGCATACGATGAAGGCCCTCGTTTCGACGACCTGCACCAGCGACAGACTCCTGCTGCATATCAACATCATTCGTCATCAAGGTGTGATGATCAATCTCACTCATGGTTAATTCATTGTTAAAATCATCATTATATCAGCAGGATATGGTCGTCTAGTCAAATGCTTATACTGTAACATGTAACTTTCACGATCAGGGATGCACAGATCATCATCAACCTCCTTCAGCAGCGGCTTCTGCAGATTGTTAATGGCTCTCATGGTGATCAATATCAGAGTGCTGGAGCTACTGTTACCGCGCAAGAAGACCTTTCAAAGTCCAGCAGCGTATAAACTAATTCTAACAACTCCTATCACCACCAGCATCTATCTATGCACCAAGTCATTATACCAGCTTTCTGCATACACTTGTATATAAAAGTGATGACACAGATGTTATGTAGTCACTCTTTTCACCTTCAGTTTGTTCAATCTAAAGACAAATGGTCCACTGGATTACTGCAGAAATGCTTGTAGATAAAAACCAATAATATGATATGAACCATTTTTCATTTACCATGCAATGCATCTGGGAGACAAGCACACAACTAGAACCATGGAACCCTTTCCTCTGCTCTTGTAATACACGAAAAGGACCTCGAGCATGATACATGAAGTTGAACGAGGAAAAAGCGCATTTATATTCCAAATGTACATCAACAAATAGAAATGAGATTCAATTGGACAAGATTTACATGATCAATATTCGCTGCTTTCATTGATGCTATAAACACAAGAAAAAAATATTTTTGTACAGACACGAAGATGATGATGTCCCATGCATGGAGAGAGGTAACCCAATATTATACCTCTTTGACATTCCTCTAGCCATATTATTACCCTTCCACTACTCTCCCACCCTAATAAACACTCTTTCGTGACCTTCCACTTTCAACCCAAAACTACAGCTGTAACACTTTCCCATTTCCACGGCAAAAAAAAATGGAATTTCCTCCCCAACAAAAAGGAAGTAAAAAAGATGAAAGACCAAATGATTGAACAGCCCACAGTAATAGGGGAAAAAATGTACAATGGAAGGAAAAGAGAGTACACTGCCTTATATTTAGCTTGCTGCTCCAACATTTTACTCCACTGATGTAGCCCCTTGAGTGTTCTCTTCACCCACATCAGATAGAGATTTAGGTGGGAGAACTGAGGGAGGAGACCATTGATCTGGGACCATCAAGAAATAGGTAGTCATTGCTTTCCTGAACCTCTTCTTGTATTGCTTTGGGGATATAACAGTAGGAGTTGAGTTCTTTGGACCACCTAGTATTCCTGATGCCTTCACCCAAGTCTCCAGGTGTTTATCCCATGTATACTGCCTCATGAAGTCAATGATCCCAAGAACTAGCTCGTGCTTCTCTTCATCCAGCCCAACCAACAAAGAGTAATCCATCACATCGATTGACTGCAAAGGCACGATTTAACATTCTCAAATGTTAATGAAAACAAAATGCTGAATCATATATAAGTCAGCAAATTACTTAAAGTCAACACCAGAACATTGCATTGATTGACCAAAACAACTTACTGCAAGAAAAGAAGTATCGTTCCACACTGCTCTTTCAAGCAACCGCTTCGCCTTGTTGCCCACAAAGATGGGAGAAGTTGGCATGGCTTCAATCAAGTTCTGATCAAGCAGAACTTTGTTATTCCCGGTGGAATCTGGGTTGTACCTTGATCTTGAAGAGCCCTTCAGATCATAAAGGCGTGTCACGTTTCTTCTGAACAGAAGATTCTCCATTACCAGAACATCCATTTTGGATTCCTTCCCGCTTTTCAGATGCTTCGATGCAACCTTAGCAGGTTATAATAAAAAATACACTCAATAAGTCTCATGCATGGCTTAGAGAAAAAAGACAGACATTAGACAGGCTATTATCAGCAAGAAAAGTTGTTCAAAACAGCTACCTGATATATTCCAAGTATCTTTGCCAAGCAAGTTGGACTGCGCGAACTAATTGATTCAGACAGGTACTTGAAGTATTCAGGCGCGAATTTTATGAACGACTCCAGTTCTGTCTTTGTTACTTGTTTGATGATGAACCTGTCATCCAAAGTCTTCGCAAAGAAGACATTGCTTTTACCACCTTGAGCACCCCACTTCTTACACCGGCTGAGAGACCTCACAAAATCGAGTTCATTCGGGCAACACATCCTCCTTAGTGCTGCAAACCGCTGTGCAAAGTAACAAGTGACGGAATATTTGGCCTTCCCAATTGGACCATCATCTCCGAAAGAAACTCTAGCATGCAATGCCTTTGAGTATGAAAGTGGGTCCAGAATCAAAGAGCATCGAGATGCAGACGTGGATAAGGTGGTGGTATCCTCAATAGACCCAAGACTTTTGTGAGAATCAAAGCTCATATCCTCCGCAAAGTGGAACGACTGAGAAGCCATGGAGTCAGAGAAATTTAATGATGATGAACCATAATCACCACTGTAGTTCATCCGTTCGAGTTCATCGGTTACTTGTCCATGATATTCAGGTGACACAAGGGCATAAGATATGATACTCGTGGGTTCATCATCATAGACAGGGATGACAGTGTCATTAACGCCCACAGGGAGAAGAAGCCGGGCCCCACCTTTTAATTCCAGCTGCCTGAAGGATGAAACATACACCGGATTGTACTCATTCAGGGTGTCAAGCTTCTCAGAGCTGGCAAGGAAATTTTTGTTGAGAGATCGATAGAAGTTCAAGAAGGGCATTCTTAACCAGCTAACAGATTCTTCTGCATCATCAGGCCCCTTGGTCCCATTGTTGTCCACATGATTGTCAACATCCAATGCGCCTGAAACTGGAGTAGAGGAATCGCTCAAGAGTGACTCAAGGCCATTATCTTTTAGTATGCCTACCCCCAAGTGATTCTCCCCTGTCCAAGCAGCATCAAGAGTCTCAGATAAATTGGCCAAAATGGGGACCTGACCCTCAGAAAGGGTTCTTCTAACAACTCCACCAGATTCAAGGCCTTCATACTGATCACACATTGACACGGTACTAGCAAGTTTAGCACTGTCCTCTTTATCAGTATTAGATTCTACATCAGGATCTTCTTTTACTTTGTCAACTGGGCTAGACTGATTGGACACACTATCTAAGGGACCCTGTTGATGATGGTCAGATATGTTTGTTCGTAGAGAAGAGAGGTCCACTGAGTTCATACCAGTGCTACCGGGAGATTTCCCCCCTTTTCCTGAAGGAGAAACATTGAGCACATCTTCGCAGCTGTTATCATTCAAATTGGAAGCATAGATCAGTCGGTGATCCCACATGTATGACTGGAAAAGTAATTGCCTCCTCAAGCGATTTATCTCAAGGATATCAATTGCAGGCTGACCCTTTTTGGCTTCTTTGTGCACAACTTTTTGTAGTGAATCCTATAGGGAGAACAATCACAATGAAAGATGTATTTTTTCAGTCAGGAGAAAAAATGCTTCGCAGAATCAGAAACATACTGCAGAAAAATTCTTATGAATGTAGTTGTCTGTCATGCATAGCTTCTAAATCTGGTTTTTGCACTAAGCCTCACCTGAAATTCTGCCTTCTCTTTTTGTAACAGGGCTTCAAGTTCAGCTATTTGCCGTCTTGATTCGGTAGGCTTTGTGCTACCATTATGCAGTGCTGCAGCATGTCGTTTCTCAGCGATTCGACGAAGGGCAGTGAGTATCTCAGAAAACAGAAGCTCAGCCCTGTCCACAACCTGATATTTTGGATGATTAAATCTCTAACGGCCAATAGAATTTGGATGATTAAATAACTCAACATCCAGATTGTAGAAGTCTCTGTACCTCTGCTGCCTCTTTCTGTATCCACTCCTGGTGTCCAAGGCTGAAATCAAGTTTTGAAGGTGGAAGGTACACTGAGAGGACATTAATTGAAGCATAGCGAAAACAAGCAACCATTTTCCCAAACCTGTACATCATTGGAAGTCAGAAAGAGAAAGAGACAGCAAGAAACTTACTCCTAGGTCAATCAAGGCGATAAAAGAAAATACCCGTAGAAACGAAGACAATCCCTGTGAAGTGAATGACCACAACTTGCCACTCTACTTGCAGCTGCATGATTTGAGAAACTAAGCTCCAAAAATTTACCAAAAGACAGTCCCCAAGCAGCATCAGACATTATGACTCTTCGAGTGGCTGGAGGAAAGCCATTAGTCCTTGGACACTTTAGGCATCTATGCCACATCCAGATTTTCCCATCCCTTTCACCTGGTAAGAGGAATTCAGGTAGCTTCTTGACAGATATTGTAAGGGTGCCCTGTCGATGAGTATAACAATGAACATGTGCTTCTGATGGCATCTCACAGATACGGCATGTATAACTCTGCAACAGAAGAAATTTATCATCTTACCAGGGACAGCTTCAGAAAAATTAATTCTTTCAGCAAAATAACAATAATAATAAAATCAAGAATTTACTTAAGAATATAATGCATTGTTCACGGTAAGTTACCTGATCAAATAAATGGTCTCGCAAAAACCGACCTAAAGGTTTGTCAAAGCTACCATAGTATTTGATTCGAAATAGATGGGACCGCTCACAAACAGTTCCTTTCCATACACAGCGGGAAGACAAGGAAACCAGAATGCTTTGATGGTCTGAAGGTGATGGAGGAAAGTCCTCTTTTAAAGGTCCTCGATCCTCCACATTGCTGTTACTGTCTTTTAGGCCTGATGAAACCTCTGAGCTTACTGGTGGAGGAACAATTGCCTTGCCAAGATTAGATTCGCCACCCACTGTGATCCCATCCACAGGTACAGACGTATTACCAGCAAAATGCTCATTCAGAGAAAACAGGCCATCACTAACCATGGAAATCTCAGTCACTGGAGCACCTTCCAAACCAAGTCTGTTTTTCTCATCAAATGTGCAGTATGAATCAGCAACGACTTTGATTGTAGATTGCAGTGAGGGTAGAAATGCTGCAGCCCCGAAGCTAGGCAAAGTAGGTTCAACAGACAGAGGAACAGCGCTATCAGTTAGGGTTTTCATTTCACCACTCTCAACAGAACCACGACCACCCACTATAGCGGATAGAGTCTCACTAGGAACAATAATTGATCTTTGTGATTCACTGGTATGCTGAGGTCCCTGAGATTTATCACTGACAGGAACACTGAAACCTGGCACAGTTGAGATAGATCTCTCAATACTTGATAGTTTATCTGGAAGTGCAACAGTTATTGAAGAATTAAATGGAAGTTCTGGAGAAGCTCCTTCATCAGCAAGAAAAGAAGTCTCCAAAGCTAAGTGATATGCCGCAAAAACTCCATACTGGACCACATGTTTCACTTTCTTCAACTCATCTCCATTGGCACCTCTAAGTAAAATCTGAAATGGAATAGAGTGGTGGAGATAAGTATTAGGAAAGCTCTTCATCAGATTCACAGCAGACTACCATTTGCAAAAGCAAGTATTCAAATTACCACATTTATTCGCCAATACCACAGAAGTTACTACTGTTTAATTCGTTGTATCAATAATCAGAAGAATTAAGAACTCACTGTAAAACCCAATGGCTTTGGGCAGCCTTCAAAGTACATCAGTGTCTTCACCAACTTTTTGCCACTTTGCCCAGCTGTACCTAGTTCTTCCAAAAATCTTTGCACATGAAAGATCTCACAGTATCCCAACTTCGGAGATGAGAGATGATCGATTGAAGGAACTATTTGTGCACCTGCGCACCGCGCTATGC